TAGATGTGGATACTTTAAAAACTCAAATTGCTAGGAACTGTTAGAAAATTTGAAATCACAAAATTTTACCGAAATCAATTCATCAAAGCGACGTTTCGACACTTTATACAACCATTCTCCACGAAAAATTAAATTCCAGGCTCTCTGACATCATAGACAAATGCTTTTTTTAAATGCCACTCGTAAATTTAATTTTCTTGTCTTTGGCCATTTGCAGAATTATTTCATTAAAACATTCTGATTGTACACAGAGGTACTCCGAAGTTGATTTTTAATCGGTGCTTGAGTTTCTGATTGACAATAAATATGTATTTTTTGGAGATCAAATCTTTCAACAATCTGTGGAATTCAAGGGAACCAATTGCGCACCTCTATTAGCAGACCTGTTTTTGTGTTCATATAAAGCAGAATTTATTCAAAATCTTCTACATAAAAAGAAGAAGCCTGAGGCCCTCAATTCAATATTCAGATATATCGACGACGTACTATCAATTAACGATATTCATTTTTATTTCCACGTTGATTCGTTATATCGCTTTGACCTCGAAATAAAAGATACAACAGAGACTGCCACATCTGTTTCATATTTGAATACTTTATACGAAAAAGACGTTAATGACGCCTTAAAAAGAAAACGCTATGATTAACGTGATGATTTCAACTTTTCTGACGTCAACTTCCCTTTCTTATGTAGTAATATACCATTAACACCTGCTTACGGAATTTATGTATCCCAGCTGATTTGATTTGCAAGAGCATGCTCTATGTATGAACAATTTCTAAAAGAAGGCAAACAATTGATAAATGAGTTGATGAAACAAGAACACCAATAGTCTCGTTGAAAGTCATCATTTCGTAAGTTCTATGGTCGAAACAATGACCTTATCAGCAAATACGATCTATCATTAAGCCAAATATCTACCTACGTTTTTCATACAAATTCTCAGACCATCATTTTCACACTGAATTGTCTCTACGGGTTTTTCCTATGCCCGATCTTGAAAAGGATCACACGGGTATACGTACTCCTCCATGGCACCTGATCCCACCTCTGATGCCTTAGAGGTCCGTGTTTGCTATGCTCTAAATTTGCATTGTTTATATGAACTTGAGCTTGATTACTTTTCGTTATCTTCATATTCCATGCAGCAAAAACGAAAGAATCCATCTAAGGTTTACAAAATATATCTGATTTACGATAAGCACTGTTTTCATGTCTCAGTCTTATAATTATGAAACTGTTAAACATCTAGCCTGTCGGAATCTATAATGTTACAATGTACTCGAATATTCCTATTGCCATAAAGTTTTTCCCGATTGTCGATATTATTTTACTGTTTTCAGAAGCTCTTCGTGGAAACCATGATCCAATGTAAACTATTGACTGCAAGACTTAATGCATCATCGCGTCCTTGAGAATGGATTGCGGGCACCTGCTGAGGAATTAACTATTGTTATAACAATCACTTCATCTGTGCTCCATTCATTCTATCAGAATTTAATTATATTGAACATTCCAGAGACAAAGAAGATGTCAGTAGCGTAGCATGTTTACTCTGTATTAAGTGCAGTATCAGTTGTTTGCTGATCACTTGAAAAAGTACAAATGTACATGGGAGTGATAATCTGAAGGATAAATAATTAAGATCATAAATGGTGTCTTATATCTTTATTTCTGGACGTTGTTGCAACTGTAGGAATTGGCTAATGATTTCTTTATTTACGAATGCATAATTTTTGATGTCTTGTCTGCCACTCTGTATGCGACAAATTTAGTATTTTTATCTTTATAATGTTTATTTAACACGTATATTAGCAAGTTGTAATCATATCAAGATCGTGTGTTCGTCTGTTTGTTTATGATTTATATGTGTAGATAATTACCAGATAGGAATCACAAAAAATATACAAACCTAGCTACTCGATTCGGATCAGCATTTGTCCTCAATGTACTTAATCTCAAAAAAAAAGAATGCTTTATCCACAACCAATCAAAAAAAAAGTCGAAAAAAAAGTCGAAGAAAAAAACACCATATTAATTTAATTCCAGTAACTATTTTTCACATAATTTAATTGTCCTTGTAGGGAACATTTGTGAAGATTATTTGTTTCTTGAATTTTTCCGGGTTTTCTTTCCGATCATGACAAGGGGCACACGGCGGATGTGACAGGTCGGCAGGGGATGCTCCCTCCTTCATGGCACCTGATCCCACCTTTAAATTCTGAGGTTCGTTTATGCTGTGCTCCAAATTTGTATCGTTTCAATGGACTTTCGAGATTGAATATTGTTCGTTATCTTCATATTTCATTAAACACATCTGTGTGTTTTTTAATCAGAGTAGTGTAAAATTCTAATGTTCTTGTTCGCAGTATAATATTTTAATTACGTTTTAATGTTTTAATTATGTCTATAATTGGCTATTGCTACATGTAGCCAAATCACATAATGAAACTAATAATGTCAACTTAAAAAACATCCTGCGTCTACCTCTTACATGATCCATTATAAAATTTGCAAACTGAAAAAGTAGGGTTGTTTATTAGAGAAGTTAATTGAGACAGTGCAATCGATTTCTGTTTGACTAAAGCGTGCAGTATTTTCTGCATAATAATAAATGTGAATACTAGATCAAAATACATTTTATTCTTTCTTTATTAATACATTGTTATGATTTTCGTACTTATTGTTAGGCCATTATTTACACACTGAGTTGTTGGCGGATGTTTCCCGATCATGACAAGTAGCACACGACGGTTGTGACCGGTCGGCAGGGGATGCTCACTCCTCCATGGCACCTGATCCCATCTTTGACATTTATTTTTATTTTTGTTTGCTCTGCTCCCCATTTGTATTGTTTGAATGCACTTTGAGGTTGAATACTGTTCGTTATTTCCATATCTCATTACATATATTTACCATCTTTGGTGTAGCATACGATGGGTGTGGAAAAAATAAATGTACAAACAGTGATGTCTTATTCATTTTCTGGTCATAAGCAATAGAAACCTCAATTGTCCCTGGTAGTTTTTCACAGAGAAAAAAAGTTATTATTTAATTGCAAAATGTGAACGGTGAACAATCTCGTAAATCCATTACACAAAACGAATCGTGAACAGGGCAAAAACACGAGCCCCCAAAACACAGATCAAAAACTGGTCCAATAATAGTTCTTTATACATGTGTAAATAACGCTGAAACAGCATATACCACCATCTAAAATGATTTGGACCACATTTTTCTTGCTTTTCCCCCTTTTCTTCTTTTTCTGTTTCAATAAATGTTCAAAACTGACGCTTGAAGGAATCATTTTCAAAACTTATCTACAAACTGGAGATTTGAACTTCCTAGAAATTACACCTAATTCCAGATTTTATAACAGTAATCAAGAAAAAAAAATATTTATTATCTTGTTAAAAAAGGAAATATAAATCGTTTGAAATGTAAATATATTTTTGTTGAAAATTTTGAAATTGATTTCAGATTAAAAAACAATACCTTTAACATTTAATATAATTTTTTTTCTTTAAAATAAAACGATTTTTAGCATGATTTCTGTGATTATATGGGGTTTGGGTATGACCTGTAAATACATCGAACATTTATCTTGATCAAAAGTCCAATTAAAAACCACGAATTGTGCGCAGAGCAAACACAAGTTCCTGAAAACACCAGAGCTAGGATTCCATCCCCTGTTGACTGGGCACACCCGCCGTGAGTCAATTGTAGTGATCGGGTAAACGGATAAATATGTAGATTCAGTATGAAAAATAATTGTTTAACAATTTTAACGAAGACAACAGATTGTTTTTGTTTACAAAGTTATTCTTTTGACCAAAAAGAATTTACGAAATATTAATTTTAAAGGAGACTGTTGATTCTCTTCTAGTATTAATTTATTTGTTAATTGTTGTTATTATTCAGTAGTGCTCTTCCGTTTCGACTCAACTGGGATCAAAAACTCCATATGCAGGTGATAATATACTGCTGCATAAATTAGTTGAAAAGTTAAAGTCATCACGTTTATCATTAAAATTTAGTAGTTCGTTTGCCATCAATGTCTTTCTCTAGTAAAATAACCAAATACGAAAAAGATAGTCAGACTCTGTGTTGTCTTTTGTCTCGAGTCCAGTGGGATATATTTAATCCATGAATGAAAATGAATATTGTTGATAAGATATCAGAGATATTTCTAAATGTCCAGTTGAAGGCCATAGCAAGATTTTTCTTCTTGACATTTAGAGGTTTTTAAATAAAGTTTGCCTCATCTGAATACAATGAATATAAGTTACATATAAATTTATTTTATTATTTATAAATTTTTTTTTTATTACTTATAAATAAAAGTTACAAATATATAGATTACGGAGTTTGTTAAAACGTTTTAATAGTTTGAATATGTTGATAAAATCGGATGTGACAATGATTGAATTCACGGATATACCGGTATAGGGATTTACACTATTAGTCCTTGAGAGACTGAAAATACGCGAAAATAGTTATTTACATTATTAATGATAGAATCAGCAATTGGAATGATTTTTAGAATAATGATTATTTCCTAATTCATATTTCTGTCAGCTAGCGTAATAGTTCTATATAGAATAATTAAGTCAGTAACGATTTTACAGGTCCCTTTCAATTTTCCCTTTTGCTCATGGCAGCTAATTAACATAGCATCATTTGCTAAAAATAGAAAATATTGTTGAACATTTTTAATTTGAACCTATTTCTTCAAATATTTTGATTTGGTAAAAACATCTCAGAAGTTAATATCTCTAAATATGAAATAATAATAAACTCCTTCAAAAATCAACGACAAAGCGGAAAATAAGAAGAAAAAAGGCATTGATATTATTCATACCGTAGTGTTCCAAACCTTTGAATATCTCTACTTTTTCTACTTTCTCTACTTTTTTATGTCCTTACATAATAAATTTGGAATTTTTAACATCTTCCTTAACTAAGAGAAATTAGATCCGCCACATCAGTCGAAGCTTACCTTTCCGTCATCTGAAGTCAGGTCACCAGAATCCTCGTATTCTGACCCTCCAGGTCCTAATGAACCCTCTTTTCTCTTTCTTAATCTTAACAAAGAACTCATAACGATGATGTATACCCTCTGTTCATTGACGATATCTAACTTTCATCACCCATTGTACAGAACGTGGTTACGCGGCATATACTTGCCAAATAACTGTCTCAAACCAAGCTAGCTTCCATCTGAATGAATTCACAATGACTTTAATCGAATAAGAGCGAGGTGTTTCTTCGACATGCACGGAAACCGCTTAATCCAATTCCAGCATTCAGAGTGTCAGGGTTCAATATCATTTCTCCGCGCCTTATCCGTCAAACGTCCGGATGATTAGCACTGCTCCAACCAACAGAAAAAGTAGACACCAATAGATATTTCAAATTGAAATTGATATTTTCCCCTTTTCCTTCTTTCATTAGTTTTCTATTTCTCCAATTTCGTCCATTTGCCGGCAAATTATGTACCTTTGCCTTCTTGTTCAAGCACCATTTTATGAGAAATTTTGAAACTGTCGATCAGACCTAAATGAGAATCTTCATTGCATTATTTTATTTTATTGTGGTATTAATGTGAAAGAGAAGCAGAGAGAGTATATATCATTTACGTCGTGTCGGATACTGCACCTTCCTTTTGTCTAATGACAATTGATTGAATTGCCCACATTTTGTGATGGCGCTGGGGTAATATTTCGCAGTTATGAAAAGCTATCATTAAATCTCTGAAAGACACAGGCCTGATCTTCCATTTCACCTAATGGAGTATTGTAACACTTGATTGCTTGTTTACGATGGTGCTGCACACCACGACACAGTATTTATGTAGATGCTTTTTGAAAAAAAAAACCATGCTCTTAATTCAATCTCTGTTAATGGAGGCCATTACATTGTCTTCGTGATAAAAGATAGTATCTTTTCGGTCAATTGACCCATTTAATGTTTATTGTGGAAAAGTAGACTATCTTGTTTCTGCTATGGAATGATATTCACTTTTGCTATATTGAACTTGTTTTTATCACATATTTTATGTCAGAAATTTAGAAATTTAGTCTCACTGTCGGATCCTGTAGGAACATCTGATTCAGATGTTCTATAAAAATCATGTGACAGGCTATGTACCTTATAATTTAACAATGTTACCCTTTTAGATTTAAGCCCTTTATTCAATCGTTTGGTATCACATATAGTGAATTAAACATATACCCCACATACACATAGCTGTACATAATATTTCAATCTGAAAAAAAAAAAATATAGACCACTCTGATTCAAAACACTGGTATGATTATCTACAACTCAAAAACAGCTTGATTTTGTGTACATTTTCAATTAATACCTTTTCTACGAAGTTAATGTTGGTTAACAAATGACTTGATTTATTGTTCTGGGTCTCTTTCTGAAACACTCCTTGACGTTTTTATATTCTTTGTCTATTTGTGAAACTCTCTTAAGGTTTTTATGCTCTGGGTCTATTTGTTACACACTCTTTACATTTTTATATTCTGGGTCTATATGTGAAATTTTCTTTAACGTATCATGTTCAAGGTCTATTTGTAATAACTCTTCTACGTCAATATGTTCTGGGTCTATTTATGAAAAAACTCTTTAACGTTTTTATGTTCTGGGTCTATATGTAAAACACTCTTTAAGGTTGTCATGTCCAGGGTCAATTTGTAAAACACTCTTTAATGTTTGTATGTCCTGGGTCAATTTGTGAAACACTCTTTAAGGTTTTCATGTCCTGGGTCAATTTGTAAAACACTCTTTAAGGTTTTTTTTGTCCTGGGTCAATTTGTGAAACACTCTTTAAGGTTTTACGTTCTGGGTCTATTTTTGAAACACTTTTTAACGTTTTTATGTTCTGGTTCTAATTGTAAACAATCATTAAGGTTTTATGTACTGGGTCTATTTGTGAAACATTCTTTAACGTTAACTTTGTATCTTCTTGTTCTATTTGTGAAACATACTTTAACGTTTGTATGTTCTAGGTCTATTTGTGAAACACTCTTTAACGTTTTGGATCTATTTGTGAAACACTCTTTAACACTTCTATGTTCTGGGTCTGTTTGTGAAACACCCTTTTACGTTTTCATGTTCTGTGTCTATTTGTGAAACTCTGTCGTATTTATGTTCTGGGTCTAAGCTTGAAACACTCTTAAACGTATTAAAGTTCCGAGTCTACTTTTGAAACTATCTTACCGCTTTTATGTTCTGGATCTATTTGTAAAACAATGTTTAAAGTTTTTATGTTTGACCGGGTGTGACCGGTCGGCAGGGGATGCTCACTCCTCCATGGCACCTGATCCTACCTCTGATGTCTTAGAGGTCCGTCTTTGCCCTACTCCTATTTTGTAATGTTTAATGGACTTTTGAGCTCGAATACTGTTCGTTATCTCCACATATTTTATGTTCTGGTACTATTTAAAATACAATTTTTAACATTTGTATGTTCTGGGTCTATTTTGGAGGTTTCCTGTGAGGTTTTCATTTATCATTTCGTCCATAGTAAGTCGATGTTTTTTCTACAGATAATCGGAGTGGTAAAGTTTATATTATAATAAGTCAAAAATTTACTAAATGTACATGAACAAATTTATGTATACTTCATTAAATTTAATTCTCAAATTAAAAATTGATGATAAAAGAAAGATTACTAGTTTATCCAAATACTATTTCCAAAATTTATATCATTGATTTGAAATTTGGGAAATCTAAATTATCTAAATTTCAAACAAATATCTAGAGAAATGTTATAATAGTAAATCAAAGGTCCATGGTAAAGTTTCAAAATATCATAGAAAATAAAAATTTCAAAATGTGTTGATGATATTTATTTCAGTAAACTATATATATAGTTAAATGGTAAAATTTTGATAAAGATAAATGTGCATGAGAAGAAGAAATTAGACGTGTGCTGTGGTAGAGAACTTGGTCTGGGGTCATCCCAACCGTGCACAATATAAGCTATCCGAATTCCGAATAATCATCTCAGAGATCCCTCCGGAGAATTTAAACTCCCATTAACATGGTGTACAACAGACATTGCAATTCCATTTACGTTATCACGACATATTCCTAATGCCGATTTTTCTTCATTTTTGTTCCTGAATGCATGCACGAACACTAAAAGTCCTCATGTGGAAGATCTTATTCCTGGAAATATTGGTGGGAGGCTAATCAGTCAGGCACTTTCATAAAAAGGTGTCAGTTACTTCCTTCTGTGGATTTATTTCTTATAAGACTCCGTCTGCAGAGGAGTGATAGCTTTCAAAGATGTTAGAACTAAGAACTTGATTACATGAGAGATCTGATTGGTTGATTTATTAATGTAGACTTGTATAGCATATGTAAAGTACTTTAAGCTAATTAATTCAAATATCAGTGAATTTCATGCAATAAATAATATCAATATTATATTTATCTGAAGAACCTTCAATTCTGATTTCTATTTCTGTCTTATGACTATTGTGTTTGAAAACACAATCATTTGAGAACATCTTTTCCACATTAATGTAGTTTGTTAGTCCCTATCGGTGAAACCATAGGGGGCAATAGATTTCTTGTCCGTCTGTCTGTCCCTTTGACTGTCAGTCACTATGCCGCACTTGCTTTTTCTGCAACTTCTTTCTAGAGGCTTGCAAATATATTCTGCTAAATTTCTGTATGTGATTCTATCTTGATCAGCGACATTTCAAGTTTGCATTTCGTTCCGCTTCGATAATTTTAGTCGGAATTACAGTTCATACCAGTATGAGGCTATGTACTGCTTGTTCATTGCGACCATAATTACGGTAAACATACTTTTGAAACATATCTTTGACATATTCGTTGATCATGTTGATTTTTTACCTGTGTACAGTAGACAGGCAACATTAATATGGCTTTGTAAATTTATATGAAATGTTGTATTATTGTAAGTTTTAATTAAAAAGACATTGCAAAATGAAAGGGAATTAATATTGACAAATCTATCTGAAATCAAATAAATCAGTCAGAAAATTATCTTATTTCTCAATATCGTGTTTAATATTTATACTGTTAAACAGGTCCATTTAGAGAATGCTGTTGTGTCTTCAGATTAACCGAACACATTCCTGAAGTAAGTGCTTGTGCATGCAAAGATAATTGATATTACGATTTAATTATTTCAGAAATTGTGTTTGAATAAACACCGCCATGAGTTCATCGTGATATTTATTTGTTCTTCAAGGTAACAACAATAAACAAACTGACGACGGTAAGTGATTGTGACGGGGATCTTCTATAAACAATCGCAATAAATTGTTTCTCGTGAGGAAAAAAGGCTCGGCGATACAGCTTCGTTCAGTGTAGTTATTAATACTTGTTTATCTCCAGGTATCCAGAATGACTTACGGTGCATGTAAATCATCGGAATCAAAAGTACGGAGGAAAATCATAGCCTCGCAGCACCTGTTGAGCGGTGGGGCGATAGGAATAAATGGCCAAAAGCGAGATTGTTGTTACAGCGTGAAGTCGCTAATGTACACAAGGAAATAAATTGACTATTAAATCGTCTCTAGATGTCTGTGTGAACAAGAGCCTAAACACCAGCTTCTAGTAGTCTATGTGTACATTACGAACAAATGTCTCGTTTTATGAAAAACAAAATGAAGAAGAGGATGAAATTTACTAGAATAAAATTATCTTTATATACACGGAATTATTCTATAGCAGGGCGTAATTACTTTGTAAATTATCAGTTAAATGTATATTGGTTTCAGGATTTTTGATATTGTTAGTTAGTTCTTTATCTTCACCTGTGTCCTATTGTCCTTTCGGTTCATAATTTTACAAACATAATCTTTTCTAAATTTTTCAATATTTCAAAATAGATAGCAATGGTAAATAAAATCTTTACTATAATAAACTATAGTTCCCTATAGTTCAATTTTTTTAACATAGTAAATTGAAGTATCAGAGATTTTTTTTTTTTTTTACTAAGCTTTTACTATTGTAAATCAGTGTGTTTAACTATAAATTTAAGGTTGTTATATTTCATTCATGCAACTTTTTTCATATTAAGGGAAAAGTGTTATTTGTATGTTCACAATATTGCCAAATAAACCATAACTAGTTTAGATTTTTAGAAATAGAAGTCTCTAAATTAAAAAAAAAAAGATTTCTAGAATATATTTTATCGAAAATCAAAGTATTATAATAAAGTTTCAATTTATGATAGTAAATTTAAGAAGCAAAGTTAAATATC